AACATTTAACTCAAATGTCCAAGGGACACTGGAGATAAGTCCCTGCCCTGCTTTTGATCATGCTAGGGAAATTTAGAAATCCTTCCAGGGGCATCAGCCACCTTCAGAGTTGCCCAGAAGTGGGGAAAACCAACCCCACCCCACTCAGAGATTTCTGGAGAAAGCTTCAAAGCCCAGCAACCCTCCCTGCCTGCTGGAGGCTTAATGACAAATAATAATTAGTCATGGCGCCTGGATCGTATCTAGCGCTGTCTGCCAGTGTATCACGAAGGGAATTTTGATGGCGTCACCCCCGCCTCGCTGGTGCAAGGGTGTGGGGCCAAGGCATGTGGCCCAGGTCATGCAGTTGCAAAGCCAGGCCTCACCCAAGCCTCCTAAGGCTAGGGCCAAATCTGGCAGCAAAAGGGCCTGAAACCACAGCCGTCCTGGCTCCTCACCTCCCCCAGAGCCTGATCTCTGCCCGCCCCTGCCCTGGAGGCTGTTGGAAGAGAGCAAGGGACACAGGCTGCACTGCGGGTTGCTTTTAATGCTATGTACAAAGTCTCAAAAAAAATAAAAAAAATTAAACGGGGCGGGGGGAAGAAACCAAATTACCTTTAAAATCCTTCCAAAAATAAATTAAAAGGGGTTTCCCCTCCAGAGAAGGAGGGGGACAGTCTACAGTGCTACTTCCCTGCCTAACCCAGAACGAAACCCGCTAAAATAAGCAAAGCAGGCAACCCAACCCCTCCCTGGCTCCTGTCCCCCACACCCACCCCTCTGTGCCACCAACAGATGCCCAGGCATCCCAGAAACTGGAACCCCAAGGCCTTTGGGGACCAGTGTCTGCTGGGACCCCGAGACCCAAGCAATTTCAGCAGGGACAAGGCAGCTGGGGCCCATGTCTGGGTTGGGTTCCCCCACCTCTGGTGCCTTTTGCAGACACCTGCCACCCCCAAAAAAGCCCTGGGGCTGTAGAGAGCCCCGGGGCCCTGATTTAGCCTGTGGCTGTATTCAGAGACTGCAGCCACCAACCCACAGGCAGGGTGCTGAAGGGAGGCATTTCCACCCTGTGGCTGCACTTTGTGGCTCCCGCTTTGCCCATCTCCCAAGCATCTGTTGCCAGCTGGAGCCATCCAAAGGCCGGTAGCTCCCTACATACCCCCAGCTGCACCCAAAAGGTTGTCGCCCACCAGCACCTGGCGCCAGTCCTGTCATCCCTCTCTTGAAAGCAGCAGCTGCTGAAGCAAATGTCCCCTCCAGCCGCAATCAGGCCTCTGGCAATAGAGGGTTCCTCATCTCAGCCCACACACATCACGTTGTGGGTACCCCATGTCATCCCAGAGCTGCTGGTCCACAGATGCATTAGCTTGGCTGCAGCGTGTCCGGCAGGGGCAAAGGAGCTGACAGATGATCCATCCCCAGCAAAGTCCCTCGACCTTGCCCTGTCAGATGTCTCCAGGTCTCAGAAGCAGCGGGATGAAGGAAGGAGCGAGGGCAGGCAGCTTTATAGCATGGGCCCCAGCAGGAAGGTTCCCCAGACAACTTTGGGATTGGCGCCCACTGGGCTCTTTCTGCTGCCCCTGCCTGGGGCCTCCATGCAGATGGGGGGAAACTGAGGCACGAAGGGAGGCAATGTGTCTGAAGTCCGTGACAGAGCTGGGTGATGGGTGTTTCTCTAATCACTGGGCCATACCGCTCTGCGTTCGGCTGCCCTCTCAGAACCAGGCTGGATGCTTAACTCCTCTCTCAGCCTGCGGGCACGGGTTCAGGGGAGGACTCCAAAGGGCTTCGCTGCAAGCAGAGCTGGCAGGAAGCAGGTGAATGTGCTCAGAGCTGTATGGAGAGAGGAGTCCAGCCACCAGAAGCTGCGCACAGTTCAGGACCAGCACTGGGGGCCTCGGTGCTCCCCAGGATGGGAGCTGAGCCCTCCCTCGCTGGCCCCCTCAATGCCCTTGCCGCAGGTCCCCAGGGCAGTGCAATGGTTTATCCAAGACTGGGAGCTTCCTCCCACCAGAGACCCACGAAGCACTAGGGTGGCTCCGGGTGCAGGATCAAGGCTGATCCCTGCTGGGTCTGAGGCTTTGCTTCCATCCCCAGGCTCCTGGGAGGACCCGATCCCAGGCAAGAGAAGGCACTGACAGGGTGGTGCACAGGGGCCTGAGCAGGGAGCGAGTCACCATTACCACAGCTTGGGGGCCCCATTTATAGCAATCCCGATGCCCTGGGACCTGGACCTCCTCCTCTGTGGCTCCCAGAAAAGGAGCACCAAGAGGTTTCCCAAGCTCCTGTCCTTTCCAGGTCTCACTAGATCCAAGCTCCTACCACTGCTAGATCTCCCTGGATCCAAGCTCCTACCCCTGCCAGAGCGCCCTGGATCCCAAGCTCCTACCCCTGCCAGAGCGCCCTGGATCCCAAGCTTCTACCCTCTGCCAGAGCTCCCCAGATCCAAACTCCAAACCCTGCCAGATCTCTCTGGATCCAAGCTCCTACTTTTAGCTCCATCTCCCTGGATCTTACATCTTCACCCCCACCAGATCTTCCCAGAGCACATCCTGCCAGGATGGGGGGCACTGGCCCCACAGCAAGCAATGCCAAGACTCCTCCCACCATGGGAGCGGAAGGGCATCCCCAGGGAGTGTCCGAGTTTGGCCGGCCCGTGAACCCCGTGAGCTTGAAAGGGGGGAGGATTTTGCTATTTACATCCCTGATAGGCGTGGCTCAGCCCCTCGCCTGCCCTTCCCCTCCCCGGCCTTGGGGTAGGGGCAGGTCCCCGGCCCCAGGGTGGGCTATGAGGTCTGGCACTGGACATGCTGGCGCGTGCCATCATAGCTGTCCTCACAGTAGGCCTCGCCAGCGTGGGAGCGCCGCCCACGCTCAGCTTGTGGCACGTATTCGCTCAGCTCCACCTCCTCCGTGTCCTCCGTCGCCATCACCTCCTCCTGGGCTGGGAAGAAGGCCTGCAGCTGGCGCAGCTGGTCAGCTGGCAGCCAACCAGGCTCTGGGAACTTCACCTGGGGGGAGAGAGATAGATGGAGGGGGATCAGGATCAGTGTGGGAGCCCATCTCCAAGGAGACAGGAAAGCTCCCTGGAAACCAGACTGGTCTCCCAGCAACCCCAGGGCAGCAGGAAGCCAGGATCTGTCCCCCTTCTCCATAATGCAGGGGAGGATCCTTACCTGGAACTGGATGATGAGCTTGCCGCGCTGGTAGGGGCTGCGGTACACAGGCATGCCCTCGTTGGGGATGCACTTTAGGTCTCCAGGCCGGATGATGTCACCTAGGGGGCAGAGTGGGCAAATATCATCACCCCTTCCCCATTCCAGGGGGAGAAACCGAGACACAGAACACTTTGCCTAAGGTCATCCAGCAGAGCTGGGAACAGATACAAGAAATCCTGAAATCTGCTCTAACTATTAGACAATTTCCTTGTGATCTCAGAAGTGAACCCAGGAGTCCTGGTTTCCAACCGCTGCTCTAACTATAGGTCCCCCTTCCCCTCCAAAGCCCAGAGGAGAACCCAGTAGTGCTGGTGCCCGATCCCTTCTGCTCTAGAACCCACGTCCCCCCACCCTTCCCAGCCCAAAGAAGGGAAGAACCCAGGCGGCGTCCTGGGTGCCCGACCCACCTGGCTGGGAGGAGACGAGCAGGGTGCGGTTGTCCAAAGTGCGAACGAGCTGCCGGCAGCCGCAGAGCGCATCGGCCAGGCTGATCTCCTTGCGGACCATCAGGTCATTGCCACTGCGCCGGAACACAGGGTGCTCCTTCTGGTCTAGCACAATGATGATGTCCCCGGGCTCCAGCCCAGGCACTTGGTCCCCTTCCTCATGGAACGTGATCTTCTGCCCGTCCTTCATACCTGCAAGTGGGATGCCGACAGCTCAGGGACCTGCCTCACTGCACCCCGCCTGTCTTACTGGAAATGGGGCCACCTCAGGGGTGGTGCCATTTCACAGCCATGCCACAACACTACTGAGTCACACGGGGCAAGAGGTAAAGAACCCCCTGCATTAGACCACAAGTGCAGGGGGAACATAGACAGGCAAGAACAACAAGCCTGGCTGCCTGTCTCGTGACAGAGCCACTGAAGGAGGCTGTGTCATTGTCACAAAAGCAGAAAAGGAACCCAGGAGTCCCCACCCCTACCCCCCAGCACCCTGCCTCACCTTTGTCCAGGTGGACGCTGAGGATCTTCTTCTCACGCACCACCTTGCGGCCATTGCAAGCTGGGCAGCAGTCACGGGGCCGGATCCACTCGCCCTGGCCCTGGCACTGCGAGCACATGGTCTGAATCTGCTGGATCATGCCAGGCCCCAGCTGGTGGATGCGCATCTCCATGCCAGAGCCGTGGCACTTGGGGCACCGCCGCTGGGCGCCCTCTCGCACCCCGCAACCTGTGGATAGAGGTGGAGGGATGGCAGGGCTGGGTGTCAGCGCTGGGAGATAAATCAGTGTTGCCTGAGCCCCTCCCTGACCCTAGCCTCAGAGCAAGGGAAGGCGCTGGGGGCACAGGGTGCTCCTGGTCTGACCACAGCACAGAAAACGGGAGGGCCAGGCTGGAAGCCTCATTCCCCACGGCCCCAGTTCCAGGGCACAGACTGGCCCAAGCTGGCAGTCAATCAGAGCCAGGGGTAAGAACCCAGGAGTCCTGACACTCCCTGCCCCTTGATGCACAGCGCCAGGCACATGGGAAGAGGGAGTCACCACCTGTTTCTGACTGGATGGCTCCAGAGGGATGGGGCTGTGCTTCCCAGCTCATTTCACTAAGCCAAGATACAGCCCTGACTCTTGTCCCCTGTCCCCCTCCCAGGCCCCAGTGCTTACCGCCACACTTCCTGCAGATGACATTCTTCTGAAGGGAGAGCTTCCGGGTGGTGCCGCTGTACAGGTCCTCCAGGGACACCGAGAGCTGATGCACCACGGTCTTCCCTGCCCAGAGAGATGTCAGGCTTAACACCCATGATCCACTGGGGCTGCCTACCTAGCCCTACCGTGCAGCCACCTCTTGGGAGGAACATAGCAGTAGCTTTGCCCCAAGCGCTGCTGCCCCGGGACCGACAGCCCCGCTTGAAAACGTGCCCCAGCTCTGGGGTGGAACGTGACAGCTGCAAGGTAACAGGTTCACACAACAGGTTTGGACAGGGCAAGGGTAGCTGCCCCTTTGACCCATTAGTCTCTCTCTTGGGCCAGGCTGGACACGGCCTGCTGTGTCCCAGCTTCTCAGCTAGACTCGGTCTCTGCACCAGTTTCTTGCTGACCAAACAGCGATCAGACGACTGAGCGGATCACAGAAAGTGAAGGTTGGAAGGGCCCTCAGGAGGTCACATCTAGTCCAAGCTCCTGCTCCAAGCAGGACGAGCCCCAACTACATCATCCCACCAAGGCTTTCTCTACCTGGGGCTTAAAAACCTCCAAGGATGGAGACTCCATCACCTCTCTGGAAACAGAGCCCGATGCGAGCACCTGGTTTGTGCATCTATCTCCCTGATAGCTCCCCGGGCTGGGATCTTTGCATAAGGTGTGTGCACGTCAGCTTGTTTCCTGTGTGAAGCTCACTGGCCATTCCTGCCGCCTCCCAGCCTGATCTCTTAATTGTCCCGTGTCCCAGTGATCTCGTTCCCACCCGCGAAACAGCTGCGTCAGGCTGCTCCCAGCCCCGGCCCTGTTTCCTCATCTCCTGACCTATTTGCCACAAGACGTTTTTATCTGCAGCCCGGGTGTTGCCCAACAGCCCTGCTATTAAACCCAACGCCTCCCGTCGTAAACACCCTGGCACGCAGCTTGCGACGGCGCGTGCAGCCGGCCGCTGGGAGCAGCCCCTTGGCCCTGGGGTCGAGGGAAGTCCCCCGTGGCTTTAGGGCCCGGCGTTGTACCGGGCGAGCGATCGACGGCACGGCGCTCCCTCGTAGCGCGGGGCAGGAAGTATCCTCCGATACCACCCGCCCAAGCTCCGAGCATCCTTCACGCAGACGCAGGGAGGGCAGAGCTGGGCGCTGCCTCGCCCAGCGAGGATGAGGCAGGGTGTGAACGAGTACAGTTTCCCCACTCCCTCCGCCCCCCCCAAACCCTGTGCCAGGTACCTCGCCTGTCGGCCCAGCCGCGCATCCGCACACCGCCTCCGAAGAACAGGTCGAAGATGTCCATGGGGGACGCGAACCCCCCGCGGCCGCCCGTGCCCCCTTCCTTCATGGCACGCTCCCCGCCCCGGTCGTACAGCGCGCGCTTCTGGGTGTCCGACAGCACCTCGTAGGCCTGCGAGATCTGCTTGAACTGGGGCGAGGAGAGGGACGCGGGGTCAGAGGCGCGGACACCTCTGCCCCCTGCCTCCCGCTCGCCCCACGACCTACCCGCTCGCCCTCGCTGGGGTTCTTGT